TTAAGTAATTGATATTATTAAATATATTATCATTTTTTTGACACCAAATAAAATATACAAAAAAGAGAAAAAACAATAGGAATTTTGCAAATTACTACAAAAAATCAATATATATTTATATATCTTATTTACAATATATATGGCTTTATAACCAACATAAGAAAGTTTAATTTGAGCCTTTTGTTGAACTGTATACAAATATTGTGAAGGATTCAAATATATTCCTCTTGAATAGTACTGACTGTAACAATTCATATGAAATACATTAAAACTATATTTATCTGATTTGGTCCGATGTAAGCAGTGCAACGCTTAAAATAAGAAAATAGAGAATACAAAAATAAAATGTGATATTTTCAATAAGTAAGTAACTGCAAAAAAAGAGACATTTAATATCGACATACAGATTTTAACAACTTCATATTAGCTCGTAATTAGTCAAGCACTTGCTCAGTCAGTAGGGCAGGGGTACTCAAACTTTTTTATTAAAGGTCCAGTTGTGAACTTTATACAAGGTCACTGGTCCGGATCAATGCCTCAGAGAGAGAGAGACTACAGACTGAGAAGAGGAAGCCACTGACAGATGTGTTGATGAATCTAACATGCGATGCAGAGTTCAGTATGTGAGGACAGAAAAGAGTTCAGTTACTCTGAGACTAAAGTGATGCATCAGGTCAACAGAGACACAGCTTTGAGTTTCTAAGACGGAGAAAGTGTACTGACCCTGGTTAGTGGAGCAGCTCAGCAGGGAGGTGAGGACTGAGGAGAAACCACAGGTTAGAGCAGTGGTTCTCAAACTTTTTCTGTCAGGCCCCCCTTTGGAGAAAAAAAAAAGTCGGGCCCCCCAACACAAATAGTCACGTAATGGGCCAAGTTAACATTTATTAAAATACATCAATATGAACGTGAGCATTCCTTTGCTAGAACAGTGATAATAAAACAATGCTCCATAATTCTGTGTGGTCAAATAATAAATACATAATACAATTGTGCAATCCCTTTGCTAGAACAGTAAGCTAAAAAATGAAAAGAAAGAAAATGCTGATATTTGGCAGAAAAGTGTGTCTCAGCATTAGTGGCTGCAATGAGCCTGTTTTGCACATTCTTCAAAACGGGGTTGCAGGCTCCAGTGCGGCGCCAGAGATTTATTTTGGGGGTGCTGTGGGGTAGCTTGATGTTTCATAGAGGGTGCTCAAAACATTTAGGGTTTCCCATTAATGTACCGGGCGCTACAGTGGAACTTTCTACTGCAACAATCCCACAAAAATACACAGTGTACCTGCGACTGTTACAATGAAGGCTCGATAATCAGCTCAAGGCATATAGGTGTAAGCAGGGGTAAAGTGCTATTTAGTGGGGAGTGAACCGAACATAGGGGGGTCCGGAGGCATGCTCCCCGGGAAGATTTTATTTAAATATTGAAGTTAAAGCATCAATCTGGTGCACTTTGAGAGCAACATGAAGAGATTTATGGATACCTCTCTCAAACACCCTTATGAAACAGAACTGTAAACAGATGTACTTTTTCTTTATGGTATATTTACAAATCACTCACCTTTTAAACTCTATTCTTGTTTTACTGGCCTACAGATGGAGCGTCTTATTTTGGACAGTTTGAAACGCGAGGGTCGTGAATTGGCTCGTGCACGGTCCGTGATCGGCCCGGTGATCGGTTCGTGATAAAGAGCCGGCCCCCAGTCTGACTTGATACAACCCCCGTGATAAATAAATGTAATTATTGTGAAGCCAGCTGCAATGGATCATTGATCCATCAGGGGGTGCAGTGGGGTTACACACTGGAGCTCATGTGAAATCAACTTCGATACAGTAAGCTGGATGTACAGTATGTCTGGTACTACTGTATAGCGGATCTTTGTTAAGATCCATATGTCACGGATAGGATCATAGTCTGTGCTAAATAAGACATGTAATCATTTACAAAACATCACCATGTTGTTATTTAACAAAATATGTTGTTTAGTCGGAAAAAAACGAACGATGAGGAAATGCGCCGGCTCTCCCGATTTTTAATCCTAATTTAATCATCATCTTCACCACGATCCATTTATGTTTATGTTCGCCGAATTGACATGAGAATCACTGACAAATATGAATATAACTATATTCAACCTCATTAAAACGATCAGGACCCTGGGTGTTATTTTTCCCCACAATGAGAATAGTCAGAAAAGCAGAAAAAGAACACTCAAACCGAGAGATGAGTTATTATTACAACGTGACTTCACTATTATTTAACAACTGTTTTTATTGGGTCTATTTATTGGGGTTAAGTATAGGTGAATTGCCACTAATGTGGGAAAGATCGGGATGTCTCCTCGATCTGCTTTATGATCTTCTTTCTCCCGCTGTGTAGATTGGGGGACCGCCGTCCTCTGTCTTCAATGTTCGGCATCGCGTGGAAACAGAGGAATTTCGACATTCCTGTATTCATTGCTTACTTCCTTAAACCTTTTCTACTCCTATCCTTTCATGACTTTTTATTTAATGCTTTATAACAGCTGTACTAGTCTCGTTTAGAAATCCTAGAAACACTTTTACGGCAGCTCTCATTTACGGTAACTCCTTATGACGTCATAGCTACCCACGTATAATATATAAACAAAGTCTTGGCTTTCAGAATATGAAACTTTTATTTCCAAAATCACACGATAAATACATTTGTGAAACTTGTAAAGGGAAGATGACAGGCACCTCTCACTCGCAATCTGCTCTTCCACAGCGCCGCCCCCCTCCCTCCGGCTGAAATTATGAATGTACAGTAAGGCAGAGGTCACATGACTTGGACTCGATTCAGACTCGAGTCACCAATTTGATGACTTTGGACTCGACTTGACAAAATCACAAAACACTTGCGACTCGACTTGGACTTGAACACTAATGACTTGAGGTGACTTGATCATTTAATTCAGAGGTCTCCAACAATATATATCACTTTTCTGAAAATAACAAAGCAGGGTTGAGGAAATATTCCCAACTGCATCTTCAAAGTAATCCAAATAGCTACATCAGCATCTAGCAAATGAAAAGCTTTCTTTGTAGACACACAGATCAACTGTAGTGGCACAGTGGCAAATCCCTGCTGTGACTATTTGGACGTTTTAGGAATACTTTCCTATACCTGTTGACTTCACATCTTGTACACATTTAATTAGGAGCAAAAACACACACTTCAAGTCAGATCATCACCCTTAGCTATTTTAATTACCTCTCAAACAACCTAAACTAGTTATAAATGTTTATTTTTACTGTCGGCCGGGTCAGCTGCTGCATGAGACAGACACTGGAAAGTATTATCATCTGAAATTAATCATTATGTTATAGTATTAATATATATAAGTATTTTTACAGCTTGTATTTTTTTACCAAGTGTTTTTATTGCTCTTGGGGCATTAAAAACAAGATTTTTTAACTTTAGTTTTTTATATAATATCTCCATTTTCTCTTGTGAAAAACTAAATCTTAGTTTGGCCATAGTTTATTTAATATATAAAGACTATATATTCATTGAATTACAAAGATTAGATATACTTTATTTGATCTAAAATATTGATGTGGTTCAAATGCTCTTCTAAACATAAACTGACAGTCCCTGAAAAGTTGTCTTCCTGTTTCTGTGAAGGAAGCGCCATCTCCTGGTTCAAATCCTGAAATTGAAAATCTGGCAACGCCCTCTTGGAAAATAGTGGGAGGGCTTAACATTCCCAGATACTGGTCTTTGGCAGGTCTTAGGCAGGTAAACTGGCAGGTAGTAGGCAGGAAGCAGTAAGCTGGAGTCTGAAATAAGATGCTCCATCTGTATGTGAAATAAGTTATTTAGAGACTATGGATGGCGAGGATACATGTATAAAGAGATCTACAAACATTACAACGTGTGACCTAAAGTCAGAGGGCCAGGCCCTCCCATTTGAACATTTCTGCCCTCCCCCAATAAAGAAGTTTAAAAAAATTCTCAGACAGAATATATGATTGGAGACGAAACAGCCAATCATAACGTTAACAATTCACGAGCGCCTTGCCCAAGTTCGAGTCCCACTGCAGTCAGCATGTCGTTGTGTCCCTGAGACACTTCACCTCAAATTGCTCCTGTGGGGATTGTCCACAGTATTGAGTATGTAAGTCGCTTTGAATAAAAGTGACATGTCATGTAATGTTATCAGGTGTGTTTTTGTTCTCGGTTAGCCGCGAACAAACCAGAACAAATGGAGCTGTTTGTCGGCGTAGTGAAAGGGAGCGCTCTGTAGCTGCAGGAGTCTTTAGGAAGTAACACAGAGAAATAAAAAGATGTCCAAAGGATTCTTCTTCGGTTTACCTCAGAGACGAGTACAGGACGTCCGGCTCGGGGACGATCTCTGCTAAAAACAGGAGAAACTTTATTAAATATACATGAAAACAGGAAGTCACTGCTTTAATAACATAATAATATGTATATCTGCAATCATGTAGAACTGTGTGTGTGCAGAGTTAAACTTAACTGATTTAATCTATAATAGCTTTTCAATATAAGGTATTTTGTTTAGGTTATTTAAAGGGTGTATCTTTATTTAAAAAAAATACTATTCTTTTTAAAAAACTTTAATTTGTATAAAAAATATTTGTCTTTATTTAACATGTATTATTTTGTATGTTTGTATACTAAAAGCTTCATGAAAGACTTTTTTTTCTGAGCTAATAATAATTAAGTCATACATTGTTAATCATTTTAATTCCCCCAGTATTTCATTTTTATTTTTTATTTAGTAAATTCTTGTTTTTATAGTTTTATTATGGCTTTTAATTAATTTTTCATTTCTGTGTATTAAAAGTTTACATTTGTATGAAATACTCATTTTGTTAATTTCACACAGTATATGCATTTAAAGGAATATTTTAGGAATTACTCTTTTGCCTCTTTCTTGTTGTGAGTGTTCAGTGGGACATTGTTAGCTTAGCTTAGCATAGTGAATAGAAGCAGAGGGAACAGTTAGCATCTGTTGGTGTACCTCTCCTCCTGTTTGTGTTGATCACGATCTCTCCGTAACAGACGTCTCTCTTCGTCTTCACTTCAGAGTAAACTGCAGCTGGACCGCTCTCTGCATGGTGAAACACATCATCAGAGTTACATGTTATATTATACATGGGATATAATTAATGTAATATAATACATATAGCCTAATATAACAATAATAACGCTGCTAGGGATTAACTGGTCCTGTAGCATGAGAACAATGAAAGGTGTTCTTCCTGAAACAGGAAGGCGGTCGACCACACAGAGGCTACCCGCCCCCGATTTAAAATGCATTTCGCGTGGGCGAGAAAAACCAAGACGTCTCTATGAGATGAACACTTCTCTGGAATGAACCTGCTGTGGTTTTACGAGCAGAGTATACCGACCAACTTTATTGAATGTATTTATTAGCGAGAAGTAGTCCCAGCCGAATACTCGATTCTGATTGGTCAAACTGGACATTTCAGAGGTTGTTAATACTCAATAAAACATTGTTGCTAAACTAAATAATGACCATTGCTAACGAGGATTTGGCAAGGGAAGGAAAGAGGTTAAAAGACTCTGGAAGTCAGAGAAATCACCAGAAATAAAGTAGATATAGAATAAATCCAGAATCAATACAGTGTCAACATCGTTGCTTCTCCACAAATAAGGGGACATTTTAAAATGTAATATCTTTCTTATTCAGCCAGTGTTTGTGGGTTTTTAAATCAACACAACCAAACAACTTTACGTTAAAAAATTAAACAGATGTTTACTTTATCCCAATTTAAAAAGAATACGATCAGCATATATGGTTAGTATTTGCCCTTTACCTTTGTAGATCAAATTTATGGGAAAAAAGTGCTAAAAATTAGGACAATCTCTAAAGGGTTGAACTTGGGAGGGCAGTTAGAAAGTTTAGAGGTATAATTTAATTTCTGATTCATTATTTTTTATTATTAAATGTCCTGTTTAATAACATGTCTTAACTTACATTACTACTTTCTGATGAATATATTTACTATCTGCTTCTCATACTTTAGTAACACTTATATGAAAAAAAATCAAATTATTTACGCTTCTCACATACATCCATGGCTGACCAACAGCAGTGAATATCAGGGTATATCTTTAAGAACAATGTGAACAAGTTGTTCTTCTTTACACCTCTGCTTCTTGGAACGCGGAAAATAGCTTTCACAACGGCGATGGAAACTTAGCAACCACAGCTGCTAGATTTTATCAAGAAATGAAGACATGTTGACCAAAATGAACATGATGGTACGTCACACAAACTACACATATGTGCATGCATGTGCAATTATAATGATATATTGTATGTAATATAATATTTATAATTTACTCATATTATTTATTTGTGTTGTTAACAGTCCTGCAGTGCAGCGTCTGCAGGTCAACACTTCTGAAGTGTTTTCCATCAGCTGCTAGCTTGTGTTAACCACAAGGTACAACACACACGTTCTCACACAACACACGCTATCATCAACTAAAATAGACCTCACTACAGTCTGAAACCTTTGGCACTAGTACAAATTGATTTTATAGATTTTATTCCCTTCTAAAATATATTTATTTAGGAGAACATTGTCTTTTCAAAATTGTCCCCAAAAGTTATAAAATTCCAGATGGTCCTCAAATTGATATTAGAACAAGAACACACACACACAGTCCCTGAGAACCAATCATTACCTCGGCCCCGTCGGCTCTGTTTGATTGGCTTGTTCCGGCTTTGGGATATTTTGACATCGCTGTATGTGACGTCTTCTCCCTTTTCCACTTCAGCAGCTGAAAGGAAACACAAAGACACATAAATGTCCCTCAATTTATTACCGATTCTTCAGACAATGTGAAACGTAGCATTTTCAAATCTACAATTTCAAACTCAAACTGCAGTAAAATATAATGTGAAACGATCAAAAGCTCTCTGATTGGATGAATGAATGGGCATCTAGTTGACAGAAATGTAATTCGTTCAAATGCTAAGGCTTTGGTATTGCAGGAAAGTCGTTATCAGCAGTCTCTGATGTGAATTAAGACAAAGTATATATTCAGTGTTTTGCATCATTTTGAACCTCCATAAAAAATAAAAAAGGTATTCTCCTAATAGAAAATATTATTTGTAGAATTGCGTGAGTTGAGTGTATCCAAACTTCCCTAGTAAATGTGGTTCTTAAAATGAGAGCTGCAGCACCATTTTATTTTTGTTTAGTTGTTGTTAGGGAGGCGGTGGCGCAGTGGGGTATTGCGTTGATGTTGGGATCGGGGGAGCACAGGTTCAAACCCCACTGCAGTCAGCATGTCGTTGTGTCCCTGAGACACTTCACCCCAAATTGCTCCTGTGGGGATTGCCCACAGTATTCAAGGTTCAAGGTTCAAGGTTCTTTATTGTCAATCTGACATAGCTACAGAGTAATTATGCAGTTGAAAATCTTATGTCACAGGCTTCTCCAACAATGCAACATAATAACATAATATAATAACAATAAGAGCACGAGCAATACAAAAATAATAATAGTTATAAAAATGAAATAAAGTTATGATGTGGAATAGTGCAGTATGAGTCTATATACAAGTTATTGGAATGATATATATATATTAGGTATTAGATACATACTACTGAGTAGCAGATGAATGTTTTGAAGTTGTTTCAACAGTTCAATTGTTTAACAGTCTCACTGCCCGCGGGAAGAAACTGTCTCCGAATCTTCTTGTCCTTGCCAGGATGCTGCGGTAACGTCTGCCAGACGGCAACAGAAAGAACAGTTTGTGGCTGGGGTGATGGGGGTCTTTGATAATCCGTAGTGATTTCTTCCTGAGCCGCTGGGAGTAAAGGTCCTCCATGGATGGCAGCTCCGTCCTGGTGATGTGCTGTGCAGTTTTCACCACCCTCTGTAAAGCCTTACGATCGAGGTCGGTGCAGCTGCCGTACCAGGCCGTCATGCTGCCAGTGAGGATACTCTCTATCGTGCACCTGTAGAAGTTGCAGAGTATCCTGGAGTCCATGTTGAACCTCCTCAGCCTGCGGAGGAAGAAGAGCCGCTGTCGAGCTTTCTTGGTGATGGTGGTGGTGTGAAGAGACCATGTCAGGTCCTCAGTGATGTGGACCCCAAGGAACCTGAAGCTTTTGACTCTCTCCACCGTAGTCCCATTGATGGCGATGGGGGCGTGTCCCTCTCCCTGCTGCTTCCTGTAATCCACAATCAGCTCCTTTGTTTTGCTGATGTTGAGATGGAGGTTGTTATCCTGGCACCAAGATGTCAGGTTTTCGACCTCCTCTCTGTACGCCGTCTCGTCATCGTCTGTGATCTGGCCGATGACGGTCGTGTCATCAGCAAACTTCACGATGGTGTTGGAGCTGTGTGTGGCCACGCAGTCGTGGGTGAACAGGGAGTAGAGGAGAGGGCTGAGCACGCAGCCTTGAGGGGCACCGGTGTTTAGAATCAGGGTGGAGGATGTGATATTTCCCACCTGCACTGCCTGGGGTCTGCCCGTCAGGAAGTTCAGGATCCAGTCACAGAGGGCGCTGTTGAGCCCGAGGTCTCTGAGCTTGATGGCCAGCTTGGAGGGCACAATGGTGTTGAATGCTGAACTGTAGTCAATGAACAGCATTCTCACATATGTGTTCCTGTTCTTCGGGTCCAGGTGTGAGAGGGCAGTGTGGAGGGTGAGGGCTATGGCGTCGTCTGTGGACCTGTTTGCTCTGTAGGCAAACTGCAGGGGTCCAGAGATTCAGGGAGGGAGGAGGTGATGAATAATTTGACTAACCGCTCAAAGCACTTCATTATGATGGAGGTGAGGGCTACTGGGCGGTAGTCGTTGGGGCAGGTGATGATTGTCTTTTTGGGGACAGGAACGATCGTGGAGTGTTTAAGACATGTGGGGACTACAGACTGCAGCAGGGACCTGTTGAAGATGTCTGTGAACACCTCTGCCAGCTGAACTGCACACACCCTGAGAACACGGCCAGGGATGCCATCAGGTCCAGGAGCCTTGTGTGGGTTAACCCTTTTGAAGGATTTACACACATCTGCCCTATTTAAAACAAAAGGGCAGTGTAGCTCCTGGTCCCTCTGTACCTCCACAGCCCGGCTGCTCTCAAAGCGTGCAAAAAAACTGTTTAGCTCATCTGGGAGAGATGCACACGCAGACACTCCCGCAGCACCCCCCGCTGCTCCTTTGTAGTCAGTCATTGTCCTTAGTCCCGCCCACATATTCCTAGTGTTACAGCCTTTGAAGTCAGATTCCACCTTGTCTTTGTACTTTCTCTTTGCATTTTTAATTGCTCTCCGGAGATCATACCTAGACTTCCTGTACTCCTCCAAATCTCCCGCTGTGTGCTCGATAATGCGCGCTTTCAGTTTGCCGCGCACCTCACCGTTTACCCAGGGCTTTTGATTTGGGAATGTCCGTACAGAAACCTTCGGTACCACGTCATCGATGCATTTCCCAATGTAGCAGATGACAGTGTCCGTGTGTGTGTTGATGTTATTGTCCTCAAACACACTCCAATCCGTAGATGCAAAGCAATCCTGCAGTGCTGAATCTGACTCCTCGCTCCATCGTTGTACTGTCCTTGTTATCGGTCTGTCCCTTTTAAGTTTCTGCTTGTAAGCAGGCAACAACAGTAGTGAGATATGGTCTGATTTGCCGAAGGGAGGGCGAGGGAGAGCCTTATATCCATTCCGGAAAGGGGAATAAACATGGTCCAGTATGTTTCCCCCGCGCGTCGGGAAGTTGATGTGTTGGTAATATTTTGGCAAAACCTTCTTCATGTTGGCGGTGTTGAAATCTCCGGCCACAACGAACGCCGCATCTGGCCGTGAAGTCTCGGTTTTATCAATAAACCCAAACAGCTGATCGAGTGCCGTGTTGTTGTCGGCGAGTGGCTGCGGGGGGATATACACTGCTGTTATCACAACAGATGTGAATTGAGTATTGAGTATGTGAGTCGCTTTGGATAAAAGCGTCTAACAAGTAACATGTAATGTTTTGTTGTCTGTGTCTAACCTTCAGGTTTCCTTCGGATGCATCGTCGCACCAGAACAACCAGAACCACCAACAGAACCAGCAGAACCAGAACACAGAGGGATGCAGTAACAGGAAGCAACCAGAAGGAAGGAGGCGTTGAAGTGGAAGTTGGAGAAACAGAGCTGGAGGTAGGAGGACTTGCAGTGGTGGTGGGTTTCTCTAAAAAGGAAAAACAAATAATGAAAAGCACAGAAATAAACATTTCACCGTCCATCTTGTTTTATTTAGTATTTGTGTTTCAGGTTTAAACTAATGGACAGTCATTCCTAATATGAAGCTTTACAGAGTGGAGCAGGAATAAGTCCCAACATCCTGAAATGAGCATTATCAAGATATTTAATTTTATGGCAGATTATTTTCTGCAATCATCCAAAATCCAATGGCGAAATCCCATTGGCTTTTTGTGGCGGGAACCAGGGATATGCTGCATTCAGGGTCCGCTACAGAAATACAATGATCCTGAACCCAAAGGAAAGCTCCTCACCTGAGACAGACAGCCGGCTCTCTGGAGACTCTCCTTTATTCTGGACTCTACACTTGTAGAGGCCTTCATCAGACCTGTTTACATGGTGGAGGGTCATGTGACCATCAGACTCATTCCTGATGGAGACGCCATCTTTGTAGAAATCAGCAGAGGGGGGGTCGGCCATCTTTGTTCTACAGGTCAGAGTGACGTCATCTCCCTCGATCACAGGGAGGGCAGGACTCTGCAGGATCACTGATCCACCTGAACACAGAGACAGAAACAACATCTACTCTGACAGGATCAACTCTATACCTGAACACAGAGACAGAAACAACATCTACTCTGACAGGATAAACTCTATACCTGAACACAGAGACAGAAACAACATCTACTCTGACAGGATAAACTCTATACCTGAACACAGAGACAGAAACAACATCTACTCTGACAGGATAAACTCTATACCTGAAGAGAGACAGAAACAACATCTACTCTGACAGGATAAACTCTATACCTGAAGAGAGACAGAAACAACATCTACTCTGACAGGATAAACTCTTAATAAAATGAGATTAAATTGATTATAATGTTTGTTCCTTTTTGTCCTTTTCAGCTGCTGAAGTGGAAACTAGAGAAGAAGCCACACAGTGATTTCAACATTTAAAAAGAAACCTGCAACAGCCGATCAGATGGAAGATTAAGAGAGCACTTCAAAAAAGTGAATTTTCTCTTAAATTATGATAATATAGAACAAAATAAAACGTATACAATATGTGTTTGCCAGCCCCTAAAGTATGAGACTTTACTGAGGAGTATTTTAGTGGATGATAGTGTGTGTGAGAATGTGTGTTTTGTACCCTGTGGTTAGCACAAGCTAGCAGCTCTGAGCTCGTCCAGCTTCCTCTTTCTGATGAACTTCTTAAATTATTTTTAGTATTGATGAGGAAACAGAGAGGCTGATCTTACCAGAGACGGTGATGGTGATGGTGTTACTGGTGGATCCCTCTGTGGACTCACACCAGTACTCTCCACTGTCCCATGGCACCGTGGGGCTGATGGTACAGGAGGAACCATTAGATCTTCCCCAGTCGACTCCACACTGAGCTCTTCTTTCCCTGCACGTGTTTCTCCTCACAGTCCATCCATCAGAGGCGTCCTCACATCTCAGAGAGACACGTTCTCCTGTAAATACCTGAGAGCTGCTGGGAGTCACCGTCAGACGAGCTGCAGGGAGTTATTGGATTCTGAGTCAAACTTCAAATAAAACCTGTCCCAGAATAAAGTTCACAGCAGTTTGGAGTCACTGATAAACCCTTTAGCCTCGTTAGCTTCTGTCACGCTAACCTCAGGAGAAACTGGTTATCCAGCAGAGTGATAGAGTTTGACTCCAAGTATATGGCAATTACGATAATTAGAGCTGCAGAATTAATCAAGATGTTATTTAAATATCAGTATGGACTCACGCAATATCCAAATCACAGAAAAGGCCAAATATAAAGATCCTCATTTAAATATATTTTTAGTATATATAATTTGAATGATGCTGTGAAAATGATCATTCCCTCTCACATTGTGAATCGTATCACAATTGCAAAATTAGTAAAGATAACTGCATTATTTAGTCATGCATCTCTAATGGTAATATTTAGTTGTTTATATACGACTTGAGCAGAGATCCTGCACGATCTGTGGTGTAATTATTACATTACATTACATGTCACTAGTTAGACGCTTTTATCCAAAGCGACTTACATACTCAATACTGTGGACAATCCCCACAGGAGCACTTTGGGGTGAAGTGTCTCAGGGACACAACGACATGCTGACTGCAGTGGGGTTTGAACCCCCTGATCCGAACACCAGCGCACAAACCACTGCACCACACGCCTCGCTAAATAAACTTGGCCTTTTTATGAGATTCTCAAATAAGTAATTTCTCTGCGTCTCTCCAAAACTGAAATAGTACTTAATTGTTTGCTCCTGATAATCCCTGATGCAACAGTTTCTAATACTGACCTGAGTTTGTTGAGCAGCAAATCAGGACTGACAGCACTGAAACTCAACCAGAAAACTTTATTAGTAAATAAATATCAGTAGGAACACCAGTGTACAAATACTCTGTCGAGTCCTGCGTTCAAGAGTGTTCATTAAAAGCATTGGCATCAAACATACTTAAAATACAAAAAGTTCTTATTGTGCAGAGTAATATATTATTGATGCATTATTTTGTTCATCACTTTAATATCACAGCTGTTTCTGTTCCCTTGCTTGTCAAAAATAAAGTGTTTTCTTAATTTGTTGAAATGCCGATCACTATAATCTTATTTCACTGTTGTTCTAACATTTGAACCCGTTTGTACTCAAACTTCTACTCCTTCAAAACTTTAATATCTTTATGTATTAAATACGTTCAGGGTTACTCACGGAGCAGGAGAGACGTGTCCTTCATTCTTCTTCTTGGTACAATGAAATCTTCTTCTTCTGTCTGAGCAGTAAAACCACTTCCTGTTTCTGCTCTAGTCCACTGGCTGTGTGATTTTCTCTCAGAAAAAAACGTACTTTATATTATCTGAATACTTCCCTCACCAAAACCACAAAAGAGCAGGTTGTATTAAAAGCACGTCTGATCTATAACGTCTTTGAAAATAATAATGCACTTGAAGGGAGACCATGAGAGTTTCATATTGTATCGTTTACTTTTAAAAAGGCTTTTTATTTGTGGCCAGATGTTAATTATTGGACTGGCTGTCAGCAGTGGCATCATTTTCTGGTTAGGCTAATTGTTTACAGTGAGGGAATCTTATCGAGACACATTAGCAGTAAATGTATAGTTTTCATTCATAGCATTTGTCTCAATGTGTCACTATGGGATGCGCCTTCCTGTGTATTCAATCTTGTCTAATCCTGATTGGCTGGTGATAGTGAAGTCTGTGTAAGTGAATCCACCTATCATGCTATATTTGAACACTATATTGTAGGGCCATACCTACATTATTTGTACCACCTTAATGTCTGACCAATTGTTGAACATTGTTGAACATTGTTGAACATTGTTGAACATTGTGTGGCAGTGTCTCAGTCAGTAGGGGCTTGGACAGGGAGCTGTAGGGTCGCCGGTTCAAGTCCCCGAACAGACCTAAATATGGAGTGTGGACTGCTACTTGGAGAGGTCCCAGTTCACCTCCTGCCCTTCCGTGGTGCCCTTGAGCAAGGCACCGGACATACATACATAAAGACTTATACATGAGGACCCCTGAAGCCTAGCCATACTGAACTGCATTGATTTTGTTTTTTCTCATATTGACTGTGCATGGAGGTATACATATGTTCATAAATGGACATACGGTATATTCACATATGTAAACATTTCGTCAAAGGAACACATGTTGGCCTCTATTCTGTTGGTTGATCGTTAAATGTATATTTATTTGTTGGTATTTCTAAAGTAATTTCAGCTAGTTGCATAATAATAATAATACATGTTATTTTCTGCAGAACCACCACCACCAGGGGGCACCTAAGAGTAAGAGTTCAGGCAAAAGCTATTGATCATCATTATTCATCATCATTCTGATATGCTTCTCATGTGTGTGTTATTTAAGGAAACAGAAAATGCAGCAATGTTTGTGTACATTGTGGATATTCTTTTCTATTAGGCAGGACACCAATATGACGTCCTTATATCAACCAGCTAAAGACTTTGTCAGCCAAACTTATGTCCTCTGCTGTTTCTCACATCTCTCTTTATATAAAACGCTGTGTTTTATGGAGAGACGAGCTGAGTGAAATACCAAAGCAGGTCCCCTTTAAACTTTGCTGTACGTTTGATTTATGTTCAAGGTCTGATAAAAGGCCCCCGGGTTAAAGCGTCCCTTCTTCTCTACTCTGTGTAACTAATGTTGTTTGTGGACACACACACTATAGTTAGATTAATCTTTCAGTCTTTTAAAAAGGTTAGACCCTCAATATATTTCAAATAGATTCACATTTCATCATCACATTCAGTCTGAGATCACCTTTCACTGAAATGATCTGACTGCACTGTCCCCCCCCCTCTGTACTTGAACGTGTCATTCTAATAAAGCAAACTGTTTCTTGTAAATCATGTGACCATGGATCCTCCCCTCCCCCTCCCCCTTCCTCTTCCTCCTTCCTCTTCCTCCTCCCCTCTGTATGAAACCTTTGAGCAAACACAAACCGGTCCACACTGGATTACACTCTGTTTCAGATCACTTCCTGTCTAGCATCTAGGCTGCTCACATGGCTGCGCAACGTGTGGGGCTGTTAATGTTCCTGTGGATCATTGGCTCTGTGGCTGCAGGAGGTGAGGGGGGCGGAGTGTGTGTGTTGTGTGTGTGTGTGTGTGTGTGTGTGTGGTGTGTGTGTGTGTGTGTGTGTGTGTGTGTGTGTGTGTGTGTGTGTGTGTGTGTGTGTGTGTGTGTGTGTGTGTGTGTGTGTGTGTGTGAAGGCGTGTGTAAAGGCGTTTTTTTTGTGAAGATTTACAGTATTTATAAATACTAATAATATGTACTTAATAAATACAAAATATAAATACATGAAATGTTGATTACATGTTATATTGTTATAAGTCACTTAACCTGTCAGATGGATATAACCACAGAACAACGTTAAAGGGAACACCTTACATACATGTTATAAATTAGCATTGTCTTATCTCATTTGACTTTACATGTTTTTGTTTCCTTATTCCTGCATTTTAATTATTTGTATGAGATACTTCACGTTGTTGGAGGAGCCTCAGGCTTTACATTGTCATTGTGTATATGAAAATAAAGACTTTAGTATTTCTAATATGAACTAATATCTTAAAAGAAAACGGGTTTCGTTTGCCCACGCCAGTAACATCTGATTGGCACTACTTTTCTTGTGATGGAAGACAATATCCCTCCGCCTGCTGACAAAAGCAGATACTTTTGCAGTTTGTTCTTTCTCTTAACTTATATGTGGAATATTATTTTCTTAAATACCGATATATTCATGTGAACACTTTTTGGTTGGGGAGTGTTTCGGCGCAAACTGTTCTTATTTCCTGTTAGAGCTCGCTCTGTGAGCCCCTCCTAAACACTGCTTATGTAAGTTGAGATGGACCGTTTGATAAAAACTGAACAACAACAAAACTAGGCCTTGTTTGAGACGAAGATTGCGGGCTCGACTCCAAAGTAGACGAGAATAGGCCGATCGCAGCCGGGGAGGTCTCAAAAGCTCGCCTGAAGTCGGACAGCTCGGAGTCGGCTTCTTCTTATTCTTCTTCTTCTTCTTCTTGCTTCGTCTTCTTCTTCTTCTTCTTCTTCTTTTCTTCTTTCTCTATTCTTCTTCTTCTTCTTCTTATTCTTCTTCTGTCTTCTTCTTCGTCTTCTTCTTGCTCTCTTATTCTCTATTCGTCTTCTTCTGTCTGATTCGTCTTCTTCTTCTTTCTTCTTCTCTTCTTCTCTTTATTCTTCTCTCTCTTCTTCTTCGTCTTCTTCTTCTTCTTCTTCTTCTTCTTCTTCTTCTTCTTCTTCTTCTTCTTCTTCTCTCGGTTTTTTGGCGGATTGCAAACAGCTTGAAGGTGCATACTGCCACCTCCGGAGTCGGCTTGACTCGGTTTGCATTTATAAAGAATGGACAAATGTGTTTAATCGTTAATGTCAGATATGTACTAAGTAAATACATTTGTTCCTGCTCAAGATTAGATTCAGCTTGATTGTTATTGCACAGATTACAGGTACTGAGACAACGAAATGCAGTTTAGCTTCTAACCAGGAGTGCATAAAGCAGTAAAGTGAAAAGTAATGTACACAATCTACAGAATAAAATATAGAATGAATTGAATGATGAATACACAGTGAGGGGTATGAATACACTAGATATACACAGTAGCCTGTGAGCAGTATTAACAGTGTGTTGTATGAATATGCTAAGATATATAAAGTATGAAAACGGTAACCAGTGCAAGTATAGTATAAAATATATAGATATTAATTTAATGATGATAACTTACTGGCAGGCAGCAAACAACTTCACGGCGTATACTGCCACCCAAAGTCCCCGGCCGGAAGTCCCCGGAGTTGGGGAAGGCTTCAGTAGAAGCTGCTGGGACTCCCAGCAGCTTCTACTGAAGCCTTCTGAGTAAATCGCCAGAACTGTGACGACTCCTCATCTCCACCGCTCCCATGTTTTCTTTTGTGTTGCCATAAGTTAGTCTCTCTGCGTTTGTGCGCTGG